GAAAATGTTCAATGATTAAATCTGACATCTTGTTGAAAATGTTCAATGATTAAATCTAACATCTTGTTGAAAATGTTCAATTCTAAAAAATGTTCAATGATTAAATCTAACATCTTGTTGAAAATGTTCAATTAAATCTAACATCTTGTTGAAAATGTTCAATGATTAAATCTGATTAAATCATCTTGTTGAAAATGTTCAATGATTAAATCTAACATCTTGTTGAAAATGTTCAATGATTAAATCTGACATCTCTTTAAAAAAGTTCAATGATTAAATCTAACATCTTGTTGAAAATGTTCAATGATTAAATCTGACATCTTGTTGAAAATCTTTAAATCTAACATCTGAAAATGTTCAATGATTAAATCTGAATGTTCTGATTAAATCACATCTTGTTGAAAATGTTCAATGATTAAATCTAACATCTCTTTAAAAATGTTCAATGATTAAATCTGACATCTTGTTGAAAATGTTCAATGATTAAATCTGACATCTTGTTGAAAATGTTCAATGATTAAATCTAACATCTTGTTGAAAATGTTCAATGATTAAATCTGACATCTTGTTGAAAATGTTCAATGATTAAATCTAATGTCTTGTTGAAAATGTTCAATGATTAAATCTGACATCTTGTTGAAAATGTTCAATGATTAAATCTGACATCTTGTTGAAAATGTTCAATGATTAAATCTAACATCTTGTTGAAAATGTTCAATGATTAAATCTAACATCTTGTTGAAAATGTTCAATGATTAAATCTAACATCTTGTTGAAAATGTTCAATGATTAAATCTAACATCTTGTTGAAAATGTTCAATGATTAAATCTAACATCTTGTTGAAAATGTTCAATGATTAAATCTAACATCTGGTTGAAAATGTTCAATGATTAAATCTAACATCTTTGTTGAAAATGTTCAATGATTAAATCTAACATCTTGTTGAAAATGTTCAATGATTAAATCTGACATCTTGTTGAAAATGTTCAATGATTAAATCTGACATCTTGTTTAAAATGTTCAATGATTAAATCTGACATCTTGTTGAAAATGTTCAATGATTAAATCTAACATCTTGTTGAAAATGTTCAATGATTAAATCTGACATCTCTTTAAAAATGTTCAATGATTAAATCTGACATCTTGTTGAAAATGTTCAATGATTAAATCTAACATCTTGTTGAAAATGTTCAATGATTAAATCTGACATCTTGTTGAAAATGTTCAATGATTAAATCTGACATCTTGTTGAAAATGTTCAATGATTAAATCTAACATCTTGTTAAAATGTTCAATGATTAAATCTGACATTAAATCTGACATCTTGTTGAAAATGTTCAATGATTAAATCTGACATCTTGTTGAAAATGTTCAATGATTAAATCTAACATCTTGTTGAAAATGTTCAATGAATAAATCTATATTATCTTGTTTACATACATATACTTAACAATTTTATGTGATTGTTTACGATAATATTAATCCTCCTCTTTCTTTCTGGTACTCCTAAGCAAAATTTGATGTATTGCAAAATAAAGTACCTGACTTTTCAATTATAAGCATTCTCAACAGCACCAAATTGATATGCTAAAATTAAAAACCCGTCACCTAATGATATTTACATTATAATATTGAAAAACCCATCACCACATCACACATTTGTATATATATTAATCATAGTAAATCTCTTCACAGCATCATATACCTGAACTACATCTTTTAAAAACAGGTCACATATAACATAAAATTTATATAATTTTCATAAAATTTGTAACATCATCATGTCAACACTTAACAGATATAAAATTTGTTGTGAGAAGAAACCAATACCAAAATAACAAGCAAACAGGACATTCTTTATAGATGTTTCATGTAATCACATTCAAACTCACATCATTTATATCCACATCTGTACATGTTACACATGAATTAGCTTAGATACATTAATGAACCTGTAAGTTTTAACAGATACCACAATAGCAGTAAGTGTTATTCAATTGATCGATTCCAATAAAATATGAACATCTTAAATGCTTGGTGAAATGCACAATTTACTTCAAACAATTACTGATATACATGGCTTAGAAGAAAGAAGATATCTTATTTATTTGAAGCATAAATGTAAAATCTTTATTCAGAATACAGCACTGATAGGGACTTAAATCATATAAACCACTGTAACACGAATTAGTAACCCAAAAACTTAGAAAATTTTCATTTTTCCAAAGTAAGGAAGCTGTCTTGTGCTATCACTTGATTATAAAATGCTTTTAACTTTCATGAAATATTCAACTTTCATGAAATGTTATTTAAGTCTCTACTGAAATGCTCCCACACTCGTACATGTTATAAAATTTTTGTGGTAAGAAATTTTGTACTTCAACAAATATTTTATATGCAAAACACTGACAATAATCATTTGATGTGTATTCCATAGCCTCAGGGAAATGATAAAGTTTTCTTGATCTTTCTAGGCAGACTTCACTTTACACAAGACACAAAGAAGAAAATACAATAGCATTGCATGAGAAAAACTAAACCCGTAGAAAAGCAGACTATCAGATGTTCTTTTTAAAATTCTATATACATGTATAATATAAAGCCAGTTAAAGGGAGACAACTGTCCTCCCTTAAGCAATAAGCTAATACTGCTGTTTAATCTTATGTAATCACATATCTAACATGGAAAATATGCAATATTATTTCAAGTTGTACAACACAATTCTTATGTTATTCTCGGTTAAAAGTCAATTTTTTTTCTGCTAAAATTCTATATTGTTTAACGTAAATTTTCAAATTTACTATAATTCTACAATTTTTATTGTTAAAATCCTCTGTTTATTTCTTTTATAGTTCTATGCTATTTTAGCCATAATTCTTCCTTATTTCACGTCATAATTCTATGCTATTTTGAGTATTTGTTGTCATAATTCTATGTTATTTTAGCCATAATTCTTCCTTATTTCATGTCATAATTCTATGCTATTTTCAGTATTCTCTCTTGTATTTTGATGTAATTTTATAATTCTATGTTATGAAATGTTTTATTTCTATCTTATATTCTGTGGATGATACATTGCCTTATGGTTCGTCTAGAGAATTGGGCAGGCAACTAACTAAACACTTGTGACTGTTTCATGAGGATTTGAAAACAGCAACACAATGATAACATGTATTTTCAGAAGATATTAGTCTAATATTACATATACATAATCAGATAACAAAATACACAATAGTATACATCAATTACACAATAAAATAAAAACTCCTTTCTTTGTAATTAACAAACAGTTGACTAGCTACAGTGAAAACATCAAGCATTCAATATTATCCTTCATAAAAGTAAATCTTCTTTCATCACATAGCTTATATATTACTTTACAAGAAATTCACAGGTTCACACATATCCACTGAGGTGCAAATTTTAATGACTCTAGGTCTGAACTGGAGCCTCTGGTGTACTAAACTAACAATCTCCAGCGTAAAACTTGTTCCAAAACTGGAGCCTCTGGTGTACTAAACTAACTGGAGCCTCTGGTGTACTAAACTAACAATCTCCAGCGTAAAACTTGTTCCAAAACTGGAGCCTCTGGTGTACTAAACTAACAATCTCCAGCGTAAAACTTGTTCCAAAACTGGAGCCTCTGGTGTACTAAACTAACAATCTCCAGTGTAAAACTTGTTCCAAAACTGGAGCCTCTGGTGTACTAAACTAACAATCTCCAGTGTAAAACTTGTTCCAAAACTGGAGCCTCTGGTGTACTAAACTAACAATCTCCAGCGTAAAACTTGTTCCAAAACTGGAGCCTCTGGTGTACTAAACTAACAATCTCCAGTGTAAAACTTGTTCCAAAACTGGAGCCTCTGGTGTACTAAACTAACAATCTCCAGTGTAAAACTTGTTCCAAAACTGGAGCCTCTGGTGTACTAAACTAACAATCTTTAAAAACTTGTTCCAAAACTGGAGTGTAAAACTCCAGTGTAAAACTTGTTCCAAAACTGGAGCCTCTGGTGTACTAAACTAACAATCTTTAGTGTAAAACTTGTTCCAAAACTGGAGCCTCTGGTGTACTAAACTAACAATCTCCAGTGTAAAACTTGTTCCAAAACTGGAGCCTCTGGTGTACTAAACTAACAATCTTTAGTGTAAAACTTGTTCCAAAACTGGAGCCTCTGGTGTACTAAACTAACAATCTCCAGTGTAAAACTTGTTCCAAAACTGGAGCCTCTGGTGTACTAAACTAACAATCTTTAGTGTAAAACTTGTTCCAAAACTGGAGCCTCTGGTGTACTAAACTAACAATCTCCAGTGTAAAACTTGTTCCAAAACTGGAGCCTCTGGTGTACTAAACTAACAATCTCCAGTGTAAAACTTGTTCCAAAACTGGAGATTTTAAAGATTAAAGCTGTTAATGATTTCCCCCTGTGTGTTTTGTTAACTGAGTTGATTACAGTACACAAGACCATAATATATATAACATTATTACCACTAACTCCTTGATAGGTATATATACAATGTATGTATGTCTAATACAAAAGTGAAAAATGTGATAAATTTATACACATAAACTGTAGTATACATGCATACAGTATTCAATAAATTGAATATACACCAGTATATAACAGCATATGATATGTAACAGAATAAATACTTGATAGAATTGTTTGTAAAGTGAATATTTTTACTGTATATCACTTTTACCTATATGACTGTATTTAAGGTGCATCTCATTTTAGTAAATGACTGCTAATGATTCAATACAGAATCCAAAACTTATCTCTTAGCTCTTAAATTTTAGCTCTTAAATGTTGATTTGTTGATAATTCTAACTTCTATTTCAACCATGTTTATTTTCATCTGAAACAATATTTTCTACAAATGTATTTATGTCAAATCTGCAGCCTCAATAAATAAAACATGCACCAAACATTCATAGCCATTCAAAAAGTAAACATTTTAGCCTTTGATGAGTATAAAGACAACCTCAATAAGTTACAGCTAGGGTTTCCAGACAGTCTTTGTGCTAGAAACTCCCGTACTCTCCACTGTACAAGGCCTTGTTCTGGTGCTGGCTGGTCGTCGACCTTGTCTGGATGGAGGTCTCCCGTCAACCGAATATGGTTCAATCTCTGCTCCCTGACCACCATACGTCATTTTTGTATAGTCAGTGGAGGAAAATAAAAATGGTTGCTTGTTCTTCTTTTCATCCCATGGTGCATCAAATGATGGTTCCTCCAAACGTGGTCCAAATAAAGTCTCATCAACATAGGTAGGTGTGTGTTTCATTGGACGATATTTAGACTTCGTTGATTCCAGTGTTGTGTGAGAAGATTTTAAAGCGAAATTTGACTCTCGACTGGAATGAGAACCTGCTGATGCTGGATTTGAAGGAGCCCAGAGGAGAGGTTGTTGTTTCTTTTGTTTTATCACAGGAACTGGCTGTGCCCAGAGAGTACCAGATGATCCCTGTGAAGAATGCTGGAATGAACTTTGTGTGGGATGTTGGTAGTGATCCACAGGACGAACATGACTTTGTGATGAGTAATTTTCTGAGCCAAACAAGAGTTCATCTGCATCTGAAGATTCTGCCACTTTACGATATCCACTTTTTGGTCTGCTGTAACTCACATGACTCTGTCGTGACCTTGTCCTTGCTGAAGGGGGCCGTGATCCTGTGATCACAAAGGTATCTGCCATTTTTCGTCTGTAAAACAAAACAATCATCAGAATAAGGCCAAAGTTATTAATTTCCCCAATTTATACTAAGTAGGATAAAAGGACAATACATTACTTCTTATTCAAGGTAAGTGGATGTGGTTTTTTTTTTATATTTATTTTAATTTTTCAAAGCATTTTAAACATACAGATAAACAAGCTTGTACACCTCATGCATCCTATCATTGTACAGTCATCATCATCATCATCACCATCCCTTGTACAATCAACAATATCATCATCTTCCTCATCATCATCATCCCATATACAAACATCATCTTCATCCCTTGTACAATCATCATCATCATCATCATCATCATCATCATCATCTCATATACAAACATCATCATCATGTCATCTACAATCATCATCATATCATATACAATCAGTATCATCCATGTACAATCATTTTCACTCGCTCAGTCATCATCATCATCATGATTACTAGATATACAAGTACACAAACTTTCACACCCACACATACCACAAAATGAGAAAAAAGAAAAACACTATGAAAATGTATTAAAAGGAGAGAGTAAATACTATGGAGAGAGAGAGGGGGAGGAGGGGGGAGATGGGGAGGGAGAGAGAGAGGGAGAGAAAGAGAGAGAGTTTACTGGGCTAGAGGTGAGATCTGATCCAAAAAATCAAAACAAAAAATTAGCGTCTGGTGGGATAAAATAAATTTCTCGGAAGAACTACTAAATGTCAATGAACAACCAAGAGAAATACAAATTATTCTATAAATATATACCTGTATACAATAGAAAGATATCAAAGCTCTTAAAATGTACCCAGGAAATTCACAAATATATTAACAGATGAATTAGTCTGAGATTTCTAACAATTTCTCCCATTTTATCCATTCAGCCCTGAACTTCTACTGGGAAAGATCCCCTTCACTATAAGCAATACTTTTTTGACACATACAATACTCTTTAATTGAACTGATTAAAACTGTCAGATTTAAGGTTTTATGTAAACATCTTGTTTTGTATATGTAAAATTTGATTAAAATCAAAATTACATTATCTGTCTTATTACCTATATCATTGCCATTATGTAATAAATTACCAAAGAGAAATCTTTGTTTATTAAAGGAAAATGGGATAAGGAGTACATCAAAAAGGGTTTCTAAACTTTGTAGTAATGCTTGTGTTTCATGGCACTCCCATAGAACATGAATAATTGTTTCCCGTTCCATATTACAAAGGTTACACATAGGACTATTAGTTATACCAGCTTTAAACAAAAATGAATTAGTTGTCAATATATGTTGTACTATCCTATGTTGAAACCACTGTAGTTTGGCATTTCTTGTAACTATGAAGGGAGTTATATAAATGTCGGACCAGTTCAATTCATTATCTTCAAAAGTCCTCTCCCATTTTGTTCTACCAGTGGAAATAATCACTTTCAGTGGATGTGTTTTAATGGGTGTCAAAGTAACATAACTTTTTAATCATAATTTTAGTCATACATAAATATGGCTGCCTACTGTTTTGTGCTAGAGGGAATCTCCATTAGGCTGGATCAGTAGAGCAGCAGATTGGTAAGCTAAGGTTGCAAGTTTGACATAAGTTGGAAGCCTATTACCCTGAAACTTACACTCAGTGACATAATTCATTCCAAATCAAAGCTTTGTTGAAGATATTAAACCTGGGTTGATGTGGTGTTTGTGGTTAACTCATTAGAAGGATGTAGTATTGCAGGTTTTAAGAGTGCAGGTTAAATTGTCTGAAGGGTTCTGGCTATCTACAATCTTAGTTTTGTCTTGGTTACCATTGAAAGTCTATTGACTGGGGCCAAGACAAAATAAATTCGAGGACAGATTGCAAGAATCCTTCAGACAAATGTACAAAGAATATGGTCACCTTATTCTGTAGCTTAGAGGAAATTTCCCTTTAGCTCAATTGAACAGTGGACCAGTAAGAAAGGGGTTAGGTTTGATTCCGACATATGAACATAGTTCCATTCCTTATACATAATAATGGCAAAGTATCTGTACATGATATGGGACCTTCAAGATGTCCATTACACACTATGTATCTCAATGCCTGATAGTGTAACAAACCACAGTGCATGTGCCTCAAATTTCAAACAGGTGACCATCCTTTGGTTTAGATGGTGTTGATATAGTAGTATTTCAACGCTTTCCCTAATCTTAGAGGACAGAATTCCTCTGAGCTCATCCGTGTAGTGGTGTACATCGTAAATATACTGGTAAATGGAGTGCTATTTGAAAAAAAAATCGTTGTCTGCGATATCTAAGTCTTTCAAAAATAAGTGATGTAATTTTTCACAAATCAAAATTGCAACGTTGATATTGATTAACTGTTACAAAGTAAATGTAATCAAAGAGTTTGAAAAACACGAATATAACTGTCTCTTATTCTGAACAGCTTTTTATGATATACCAGTGCACAAACTGATTTAATATTGTCTTTTATTAGAGTACTATGGATCACTGCATACTTACGTTCTTATCTGAATTCAGAAAATTAATTCAAGTTATGAGCATTCCTTCAGCATCGAGGCCTACACTGTACGTGCCATGACAAAACCTCAAAATTGCCTAGCTTCAGTAAACATTTGCATCGGGGTCGATAACGTGTTTGGAAATAAAATATTTCATAACTTGCAAAACGATTTTACAATTATTTCCGGAAAATTGTAACGATGAAAAGAATATCCGATAAAAAGATTTCGGAAACAGAAGAAATTTATATTTTAAAGACGATGTTTGGAAATAAAATATTTCATAACTTGCAAAACGATTTTTCAATGATTTCCGGAAAATTGTAAAAATAAATAGAAAGAACCTATCAGATATAAAGATATCGAAAACAGAAGAAATTTCTATTTAAAAGATGAATGGTATTAAATAGAAATCTTTTGACATCACATAGAAAAGGAAAACTTTGAGCGCACCGACATGTACCCCTCATTAGAAGGGAGGTAACTCGTGCGGTAAACAACATAAAACATGAAATCGACACTGTCTAGATTCACATATAAAATTCAAACCCCTGGTGACATCGCTTCATTACCACCACCATTGCCACCAACACCACAACCCAATCACCACCACCACCACCACCACCATCATCATTATCATCATCATCATCAACCGCCATCATCATCATCATCATCATCATCATCAATCACCACCACCACCACCACCACCATCATCATCATCATCATCACCACCACCACCACCACCACCACCACACCACCACCACCAACACCGCAACCCAATCACCACCACCACCACCACCACCATCACCATCATCATTATCATCATCGTCATCATCATCATCATCACCACCACCACCACCACCACCACCATCATCGTCATCATTATCATCATCAATAAAGCCTCCAACAATGTCTAGTCTTTTTAATTATATCGGCCTTTGTCATGTTCCCAAAATTAATGCACAACTTTCAAAAGGTTGGTAGTTTCGTTTGTAGAAATAAATAAGGTAAAAAACCCTTGTTGTAACCACTGAAGTTTAGGTAGCAGGAAACAGTTAATTTGGATTTTTCCTGAAATTATTTGTCATGTTTGAGATATACAGGTATAGCAGTTTGGTTATGATAATACATCATTATGTGTATATATAATTATAAAATACATAACAATTACATTTATAGTAGAGAGATAAAATTTATGTAAATAAAAAAATTCCTCTGATTTCCATGTGATTGCCATGGTTACCAACCGAAAAAAAAAAATTCACAAATACAGTTAATTTTAACCTAACACTACACCTTTATGGAAGAAGTTTATTTCTGAACACTTGGCTTAAAATCAACAAAGCTGTCATGGTAACAAACTACTTACATTTCAGCAAATTCTAATTCGGAGATCTTCACAACATGACCACATCTAAACACTATTAAACTTTGACTGCTTGTAAAGCTAGTTTTTTATGTGTAGACACAGATTCGAGACTGCCCAAATAGTAATCTCTAACACAAAGCTGAAATATTATTCCGATAAAAAAATGAAACCCCACATTGTTCACTTCGACATGACAATACCAATTTTAGAAAGAAAAAAAATAAACTTCTAATTTAAACCTTTATAATGAGGTGATCTAATGAACAAAAATATCACTCGTTGCCACATTGAGAAACTGTGTACTGCTTCCTGGGGGTTTTCCAGTGACTTGTGAAGGCTGTGTATGTAAATATGTTTTACCAGTCATCATCATTAAAAATTTTCTGATACATTTATTTGTCCATAGCTATGAGAATTTTCTTGGTGTTTAACAAGTCATGAAATACTTTGAAACCTTTAGATGTTTTTATAAAAAAAAAAAAAAAAAAGCAACGCTGAATAGCAAAACAGGCCGGTCAGTTCACCCACGAATAGTATATAATTTTGCCTTGAAGGTGTTAATTATTTCAGTCAAGTTTTTGTTTTTTTTAAATATCGTTAAAATAAATTCATAAACATTCAAATTCAATAAAATTCAAACAAAAATCAGCAATGTAAAAAGCGCAAATATCCTGCAATAGACGATGTACGGTATGTGACGAAGGGTCAAATTAGGTGAGCTGTAAATCAGGTACACGTTTATCTATATTGGTTAAGATTGTGTGTTTTTAATTGAGTCTACGCCGGGCGATATACGTTTCAATTCATTCGTTATCAACTATATAGGACTTAAAAGTAGGATTTCATCTCCACATGCCAGCTGGTAAAGATATTTTGTCGGTCAAAATATTTTTATTCAAGCCACCAGTGCATACAACTTGAGAAAGTCCCAGCGACCAGTCATTCAAGATGACCACGAACCTTTTAACCACTTCGAATTTTCACTCACAGTTTACCTCACATCAGGGTTCATCAAAAAGCAGAAGGGATTTCAATTTTCCGGAATGTCACCATTTACCATTCATATCGAGCTGGAAAGCAGCGAACCAAACCATCAACTAGGATTTGTTGTGTGTTTCAAGTTTTTATTGGTACCCTGGTTTAAGAATGAAACCATCTCGCATCACCGACCGTCGGGTCGTGTCAGTGGCGCCTGGGTTCCCGAGGACGTCCAGAGCGACGTGGCTAATCCGTGGTCCTGCCCAGCACCCAGGGGTATCCCTAGTTTAATTACCCTACACACTCACTCTCGCACGACTTCCTCACCTGTCACACCTGGACAAGTACCCGTCTCAAGACAACACCATATAAGGACAGACACAGACAATACTTAACAGGCAACACACCAAATAAGGACATACACGTAAATGCACGGACAGTAACGAATACAAATGAAACAGGACGTTTATAGACACTTACTCCTATTCACCCTGTGACATATATTACACAACATCTGCTTCTGTGTGATGTGGTGAATGACTTTTGAAAAATGTGGCTTCAAAACCAAACGTAGAATGTTTCCTATTGTATTTTTATCTTAGACTAAATCTAAATTCGAAATTTTTCATTAATTGAGACAGAAACGTTATATTATGTCACGTACATAGACTCTACCTCTAAGTCGGTGGTGATATCACGTGTTTGCACCGTTACATTATCTTTACCAACTCGAGCTAAGTCTGTAAAACTAGAAAGAACCTCCTTAGTGCGGAATATACACCTGTGGCGTTAACAAAACACCCGGCCTTCAAAAGTTCAGTAGCATCAATGACGAGTCCTGGGAATACGAAAGAGCTACGATCACTTCCGCTAGAACAAAAGTGAGTTGTTACCCCAGGAATATCGAGGTTGGCCACATTATAATTATACTTCGTTGTTTGGCCCTACTGTGTGCAATTAACGTGTGTGTCTTTTTTTACAATCTTTGAGACTGCAGTTGGTAGACATTATTGATTACTTTAAGACCCCGATGTTTGTCGTTCGAATAGTTGCATAGTTCAGAGTATACACAACGTTCTTCTAAAGTATCAGACATAAGAAAAGTACTGAATTCTGGGGCTACTACACCCGAGTCGCCATCTAGATTTCGACATTTTCCCCTGTTATTTGGATTTCACTTTTGTACAATCATCAAGATTTAATTATTAGTCTTAGGACTGCCCTCGTAATTCTAGAGACGTATATATACGTCTCTGGTAATTCAAATGCTAAGTACATTCATCGATGCATAAATGTTTTTCTTAATGAATTTCGGACTTGAAAAACTGCCATAATCTATAATTTATGACGTCACTGAGATTCCGGATTATTTGACCAGCTCGATTTTGTTACTATCACATCATTCATTCTTAAATTTTGACAATAAACTCCCTTGAATATCTATTGAAATGAAAAAAGTGTGTCTAAGGAGATGTTGCTGAGGGTTTTTTCTTGCTTTCTTTCTTTTTATTTACAAATTTTGATTTCGTTTTGTGATACAGCTTACCCACAATGCATTGCGCAGGAGGTAGCAGTAAAAATGGCGAGCTACATGTGCGTCGATAATGCCGGGAAATTGTATTTTCAGAAAACGAACAAGGACAAAGAAACATAGTCGTTGGAAAGGATGCGTTAGTGCAGCTTTTGATAAAAGGTAATACAGTTATACTGTCAATGTATATATTGATTGAAAGCCATCGATATAGCTGTTTGTATGTGACATACAGAGTCTGACGAACGAAGTACGTTTGAGTACGTCGTATATACGAATTCGTCGTTGTTTGACCTGTGGCACGTTTGATATCTACTGACTGTTCGATTCTTAATTTAAGTATCTCTCGTTCAAGTAAAAGCTTTTTTCTGCATAGGCGATGCTTTATTAATGTGAATCGTTGTACAACGACTAAATCAGATTGATCTTCTGTTCGGATATTGTTAAATACATCGTTCCTATATATTTCGAACACGTGCATAGTGGACTGGATTTTTGCTAGAAATGTTTACGTTCCAGATATAGGTTCCTGAATTCTAAATAGCCGCTCCAAATTAACCTTTTTATAATAGGAAGACATTTTATTTTTTTTTATCAAAGACGGAAATGGAAGGACAGGAGATTTGTTGTGTGTGTGCCAGGAATGGGAAAACCAGCAAGCTGAAGACCTACCAAATCAACTTTGAGGAGGCCATTCGGTTTTGTGAGGATGATGAGGTAATGTCTATATTGAAACCACTTTTTTTGTATTCAGGCGAAAAATATACATGTTTCCTGTAATGTTGTCAAGGTTGTTGGTAGGGAAACATGTTTTATCTTATAATATCCCTGTAAATTTTATAATAGTTGTATGTATCTTTTTCCAAATTGAAATGCAGTTTTCTTACAGATATAATTCAATAAGATATTGTGAATATTTTGGAGATCAGACAAAATTTACTGTTATGATATGAATGTAAAATTAATCTTCTTGCCTCATATCTTTTAGTGTACATATCCAGCTGGTATGGATAATTCCTCATGGGTGCTCAACAGAAAATTCTCAGAATTGGAAGTCAACAAACCATCAACGATGAAAAAGAAAAGTCTACCACAGTTGTCCCATCCTTCTTCAATAAAACACCCTGGCAACAACCATAGAAGACAAAAGACTGAATCCAAAAGTCCATCATATGTAAATGCTGATCCAGTAAAAGCAAAATTAAGCACTATACAAAACCACTTGAAAAATGAAAAGGATGAATGTGTACCAGCCTCTTCCATTTCATCCACAAAGACTGGACAGACATTTTCATCCTGCAACAAGTTTCAGAATAAATCAGGATCTAAAAATTCATATCCGGCATTCTCTCTATCAAAGGATGTTGTGAAGCAAAGAACAAAGGCAGCAACATCAAAAAAAGAGGAAGAAATAGGGATGCCTTTAAGTTGTATTAAATCCAATAAAGATAAAAAAAATCTGAAGGTGAGTAATTTTGATGCTACCATAGAAACAAGATTAGTTGGAAAGGAGACATATTGTCCCAGCACAGTCGATCAGTTGAGAACATTTTATCCTCAGTGGCAAAACAAAGATGCTCTTTGCTGGATGGATGTTATACTCTGTCTGCTAGTTCATTGTAAACAGGTAAATAAGTTATGTTCTGGGGACCAGGGTTCAGAATCTTCTATGGTGTGTACTTTGGTGAAAGCTTATGATCAAGCGGTGGCATTGATGAATGAAAGACCTATAACATCCAAGACTGTTTGTTTCCCTTCTGATGTTAATATGACAGTATTGGATGATACCGGTGTGAAAACCCACGTCAACTCGACTTCTACTTTATTGTCTGAGGAAAAGTTTGAGACACAATGCATTGGGGAAGACACAAGTAATTTTACAACAACTTCCACCAAGCATGAGGATGACGTCAAAACTGGTGCAGGACTTCAGTTACTGAAATCTGACTTTTTACAATTAATGTCTTTGCATAGTCACTCTGAATATTCCAAAGCATTTGATCTTCTTGGTGATGTTAGGGAGCAAATTTGGCATCAACTTCATCCTCGTCTACGTTGTAAGAAAGGCCAGAATGACAGCCCTGTATTTGCTATCCCCTTGCTGACAAAAAACAGCAAGGATCTGGAGCAGCTATTGGCCATTAAGTACAGCTTTCATTTTGAGTGTACAAAATGTGGATTCCAAGACATATTTCCTCAAAATAAAGTGCTACCCACCTTCCCCAACACAGCACAGAAGTTTTCAATGAAGGATCCTAAGTTCTTGCGGCCATGTTTTCAGTGCTTAGCTGATGGTCAGACTATGACGATGAGATTTGAAAGGTATGGTATGATTTTTAGTATTTATCTTTCTCTGACTAGGGAGGTGGGCAAACGATTTATATTTTGAAGTGCTTTTGATTTGCAAGTGGGAACTAGACTTCTTATAGTTATTTGAATTGGATTAATAAGGTATACATTTTTGTTACTGATTCTATTGAAAATCAAAATATGGAGGATATCTTGGATATCTATTGTAGAAAGGAATATTAGTCAGGAATAGTTGGATAAGAATTCAGTTAAGAAATTCAATGAAGTAATCAAAATAGTATTTAATTGATTGTATATGTACATGAAAACATTGGATGAATTTCTCTTCCTTAACCCCATCCTTTTACATGCATTCGAGGAATTTGTAGATTTGGGTATGAATTCATTAACCTTTGTGTGAATTGTTTACATTTGTATATTTCAGACTGCCACCAGTGCTCATGCTCCATTTTCAAGAAGGTCTTCACAGCAACATATTCTCAAGCTATGATTTCTACCATCAGAATCGACTTTACCAAGTCACAGGAGTTATCCAGTATAGAAATGACCCTGACCACTTTATAGCTTGGATACGCAATCCAAAAGGTAAGTCAAGATACTGCTATGGAAGGAAGAGTACCGATTTTTGGATTATTTTCCAGGATGGAATGATAGGTGATTAATCAAGATAAATCAGTTAAAACTGATGGCATTGTTTTCATTTATTAATGATTTATTGAGGCATTTTTGTCAGGTTTTTAGGTCACCTGAGACAAAGTCTCATGGTGATCTATAGCAATGACCTTCATCCGGTGTCCATAAACAATTTAACATTTTTGACTTCTTTTCAAGAAACTTTGAACCAGTTTTAATGAAATTTTACAGAAACTTCACTGGCGTAAGATGAAACAAAAAAGTGAATTATAAGGTTCCCACCCCATGAGGGCCTCAGATGCAGGGCAAAATTTGTCAAATTTACTCAAATTTCAAAAATCTTTTACTCAACACTTGGATATGATAGAATCAAATTCACTTCATGGATGGATGCATCTTAAGGTGGTTTACAAATAATGTTAATTTCATGGCACCAGGGTCTCGCATTTCCCTGTGGGGAGGGGGTAAAGTTTACTATAGGTTATATAGGAAAAATCGATTTGTGAGAATAATTTGTTTACTTTCCATTTGAAATATTACAAACTTGGGTGGAATAATAAATGAAAGACGACAGCTAAATGGTATGAATAGATTGATCCTGACTGACCCCAAGAGCCAAAAGGGGTCAAATTGACTTAGATTTAAAAAATCTTCCCAAAACCCAAGTATGGTCGAATCAAATGCTGTTCAGGGATGGAAGTCTAAAGGTTCTTTAATTACCACATTTTCACTTTCACATTTTTTCCTGGAGAGGAGGTTAACTTTACTATAATTTTTATAGAAAAATTGCATTTTTGAGCATAACGTTATTTATTTCCCAGATTTATTAGTATAGGATGACAGTTGTGATGGTATTCATGTATTGACACTAGCTTACTATCATTAATGCCACAATTTCTTTTTTCATGACACTTTTCGTGCTTATCTCAGGTGACCATCAAGGCCACTAATAAAAGTAACATTCTTGAGAATTTAACTTATCATACCTTTCAATATGAAGCACAATAATATCTTCTGAACTATAGTGGTCACTTCAGAAATTTACATTAGACTGTTGCATCCTTGGATCGATAGGTTATCGGGTTAAATTCTAGAATGACCGCCATGCTTGTTTACAATAAGGATGGCTTGGTATAACTTACAAGAGATAATATGGGACAATAACAATGCAAGGGCCTTTTCTGATATTTAACAGTACAGACACAGATGGAGATATTAAGTAAACTGTACATAACATCAGGCCTGATATCTGTGCATAGACAATCTTTGAAGGTTCCCAAGCCAAACAAGTTCGATAATTGCTATTTTACATTTATCAAACAGTTTATAGCCCGGAAAATACGGTAATAAGTAAAAAGAACATAAACAAAAACAAGGTAAGGGGCATTGGCATATATGATTCATATCATATTGATTCATAATGTTACATAATTTTAAATTGAATGTCAACTTTCTTTCTCATCAAGATTGTTTTATTCTTTGTAGAAGAGCTTTGGATGGAATGCAATGATTTGAAGTCACCTGTGTGTCAGTTTGATCAAAGCAGTCCTGGCTTCCCAGCTAGCCAGGTCCATATTGTGATGTGGGAGACCGTTGGCCCTGAGGATGATGGAAACATCACTGTCCAAAATAGCACTAAGTCGATGTGTAACCAAGATTCCCCAAGGAATGGCAATGTAGAGGTATCCATGGAAACTGGTGTATCAAGTGAGAATGGTTTAATGTCCTTTATTATGGAGAAAGGAGGCACTTCTGATAATGTAGCAGAAAATCTGAATAGTGTTGCTAAATCTACAACTAGTCGTTCAGTTTCTCTCCTGAAACAAAACTCGCTTAATGGGAATGCCATGGGGAATAAACAGATGACAAAAGATCCATCAAATATCAAGGGAGGTTCCAATGTCTGCCGCAAAACTTCATTAAAAAGCAGTGGTAAGAATGTCCCATTCGACAAGTTAAATATGGCTAGTAGTCCGAGGCCTGCTGAACCCAAAAAAGATCAGTTTGGAAATAACAGTAAAGGTGTTCTACTTCATACTAAGAAAAGTTACAGAGGTGCTTCAAATTCTCATAAGGACTGGAAAGGATCAGCACACTCTGACAAAATTCTTGAGAAAACCAAGGACAATGTCTCTTTCCTTCGAAATATGAAAAATCCCAGACTATCACAAACTTCTTGTGAGCCCAGAGATCATCAGAAAAGTCTGCAATGTCTACAAGGTCAGGGGTCCTTAAGTTTTCTAAGTCGGATTCTAGGCAACAGTAAAACTAAGACAACAGTATCTCCGATTCTAAAAGGTAAAGTTTTTGAAGGATACAAATCCAGGACTTTTGATCAAGCTACTTCTATTCCATCAAAAGCCAGAACGAAAAGTCTGTGTGGTGAATCAGATACAGAGTCCTCGGTGAGCAGACCAAATAGTCCTGCACTTAGTTGTCACAGTGACTCCTTCGTCATCCAGAAAAGAAAAGTTGAATTAGTGTCTGAAAATAATACTCTTCCAGCTCTAAAACGACGAAGGTCACACGATACAAATTTCACCTTGATTCGTCCTGCAGTGCACATGAAATCCCTTAGTCTTGACACTGGCACATCACTCAGCAATGAAGGACTAGTTTATGATAAAACAGCAGTCAGTGCTCTATACACAAGCAGTGTTGAAACAAAAACGATTGACAGCCAGTGTAGCAATAATGAACTGCTAACTTCTGTCACTAGGACTGACTGTACTTTTCAGGAATCTGATATTCTACAGAGTCTGTACAGTGCCTTGAATATTGACATGCCAGCAAATAACGATGATAACAAACCTCCAGTCAAAGCAGTTGGAGCTGCGCCGATGGATGTTGAAAATATTCCAGACATTTCTGATTTGGACAAATTTATCAACAGCAGCTGTGATTCAAACATGGAAGACAACTTTGATGACTTCTTATCTGAACTGTGACTGAGGTTCGGGAAAGTTCTTTTTGGTATTGTGCAATGTTTGAGGTTTTGTTTGAACCAGTTCTATTTTTTGTTTGTTTTTGTTTTGTGAAATACGACAAAAGGTGCAGTAAAATTGTGATATGCAAATTATCAGAAATAAAGTGTAATGCTGTAGAATTATGCAAAAATCCCCCAGTTCAAAGAGGAATGCCCCATTCCTAAGTTGTGAAAATGGTTGTTAACAACTTAACTTAAGGAATTACTCTTGAGCTCTGCAATTTTAGCTAAGATTGAATAAGCTTCATTTCCTTCATTGATTTATTAACAAAGATTTTCAATTATCTGCCCATTATAAATAATATATAAAAATTAAAAAAATTGATAGGTCCTTTAAAGATGTTATATATGTATTACAGGCTTGTATTTCCAGTTGCAATCAGAGGAATGTCCCTTTACCATGCTAAACATTCATTGATATCATGACTCAATAGATAAGATGACTTGGTCTATGTAACAATATTCAAGTAGTCTGAATTGTTAGGCATTCTATTAACTGTGCAATATGCATGCAGGGCTCTCGATCTGCCAGATTTGGGGCTGATATTCGGCCCTATTCCCAATGCAAAATAGTATCTTTTCATACTATAGTTCAGAAGATATTATTGTGCTTCATATTGAAAGGTATGATCAGTTACACCTTAAGTTTTCCCAATTCTAAGGAAAACACCATTTTTTTCCCCAATTCGAAGGGCCCCGAGCCCCAGTCCCAAAATGGGGTGTGAGAGCCCTGGCATGTGAAAATGATGATTTCTTTCCACAATTATTGTTTGATTGCCGACTGGCACGAGTCGCATATTTCCCTAACTATATTGGGCCATTATCGACTCCAAGCAGATATAGAATGTTGATAGAGCATTGGAATTTCATCATTTCATGTTCACATACATTTCTTGCTGTTACATTGAATTGGAAATGATAAGGCAACCCATCCATAGAAGTACTTGATGGATCTTTTCTAAAATTTATGAAGGTTCCCCGTAGTTCGCAGTTACATCATTTTTGTTTTGTTAAAAAAAAAATGGCTGACAAGCACCATCTTGTGTTTGACTAGTTAAGACTATTATTGCTATTTCTGAAAGGAATTTAAGATTTAAGAGCAAGAACAGATTAAAGAATAGAAAAGAAGATCTGATAGGAGAGAAGAAAAAAGATTCAACTTTTATAAGGACAAATAAGCCCTAAGAAATGTTAGCGGCAAGAAACCTCTGTAATCTCTTGTTTATTGAAAAGCTTTGATAAAGTCAGGGTTTCTTATGCAGAAAGGTAAGAATGGAGTAAATAACTATTTTGCTTTTTCAAAATGAAAGGAATTTAGAAACAATCCGGGAAATATATGGGCACAAACTTAACAAACAGATGAGTAACCAAGCTAACTCTACTGAATGCGGTTGACCAAGTGGATACAATTTCAACTTTAAGAATTCTGTGTAATATTATATGATAAGTTCATATGAACAGAAATCAATATTATTACATTTTCCATCATTTTTTGTACTCATTAAGTTGATTTGTACATTAAAAGACTGGTTGCAAGTGGGAACTGGTTCATACAAGTATGCAGTACCTGTCATGATGAGAGACCTATTGTATACAGTGAGAAAACAGTGATAAGAAAGATGAAAGGGAAAATGTATTAGAAAATTATTGCTGTTGAAATTGTTCTGACCATGTTGAAATACCTATTGTCATACTTTGTTATTTTTATACTATTGTTATTGTTGAAAATTTTTATAGATTGTTGATTATGAAATACTATGAAATACAAATTGAAAAAGATAATAGTAGTTAATTTCATTTTCAGAATTATTTCAGAAGTTGATGGGGGAATAAAACCATACATTTTGGGAAAGAAATGCAGTTAAAAGGGAGGTAATAATTTTAGTGTGAAGTTAAATGAAAGTTAAAGAACTAGATCCAGGTGAGCGAATTGGGTTAATTTTTTCAAATGTTTCTATGTGGGTATTCTCCCTGAACGTTACTAACATCATGAGTTGTTAACAAGAAGTGCTGTGACTGGTACAAAAATGACCTGAAATTTATTTGAAATCTTCCTTCAGAAAAATAAAGTGGACAATTAAAGTGTGATATTTAGCTGGCCACAAAACTCTGCTATCAAAGCATAGCAATAGGGTTGAGTAAATCTGTCTCACTTTGTCAAAAAGTGACAAAAGTGTGACCCATGACTTTGATTTACAGTATTTTTAAAAGATAGAGTACTTCATAAGAAGAATGTGGTATGCAAAATTTTCTGTGAATATAACCTGTTAAGTGTAAGATCACATCATCAGACATGGTTTGGTTTTTGGTGTAACTGTATCACAATAGGATTGTATTATATTCACATTGACCCCTTGCTGAATCCAGAGGACTGTCAGATTATTGTTCACACTATTACTTGAATCAATTGATATCTTTGTAGGACTCTCTTGGTTTTATAGCAAAACTTGCCTTATTCACTAATTGCACATTTTTCATGACTATTTTGAGTTATGCCAAATGTAAAATTTTTGATGGGAAGAGACATCACTTTTTCGTGATTTTGTGTAAGGAGCCACTATTTGTATAATAGATATTATCAGTAGTATACGAATTCTGTGCTTTGGACGATACTTTTTAAAGTTTTGTTTGGAGATATCAAGTACAATAATATTGGTAAATAATGAGGCAAGAACTAAGATTCAAGACATCTTAAACATAATAACAAAATGATTGCCTTGTTAAGTGGTATCAATGCTATTTCAATTATAACGAGTGAAAGGGAAAAATGTAACAAGACACACAGGTTAATAACCAAAGGTTGACTTGTTTAATGTCTTGATGAGAAATAATTGTTATGTACATGATAACATCTGCCTATGTCACTGAAAGTTCAAAGGTTAACACAGACCACTGACAATACTACAATGGCTATTTTTAAATTTGCAACACCCTTGTCATTTTGTGACTTTGGGATTGTAATCTAGTTCTCAACTTTGTTTGTAATGCTATTTCTCATTATTAATGATTGAATCAGATGTAAACTGATATCAGTTGGTGGTCAAGATGATTGTTTTAGAATGTATGACATAATGTAAATATGTTCATTTGGTCAAGAGTCATTTTTCATTTTGTCAAAAGTCTTTTGAATCATCCTTACTGTAACAATGAAAGTTATTTTGCATGTTATATGCTTATTCTAGTTTGTTGTAAAAAAATTCAATTGAACATGATTACTTATTGCTGTCATTCAAATGTTATTGCTTGTCAAAAGTCAAGATCATGTCAGAAAGGATAAATGGTCCTACTGCACTAGAAAAAGAATTGTTTTTGAAATACTTCTTCGTCAGTTTTGAATTTATTTTACAATTCTAAAAAGAAAAAGGAAATATGGAATTCCGATGCAGCTTAAAGAGAATTTCAACCGGATTATTTATGTCTCGCTTGTCATAGTACAGTCTGCAAGGTCATGGTCATATTTAAAAGGAGGTCACAATAATAATGTCGTGTGTAGTATGAACAATGTCAGTTCATTCAGTTGATGTCATCTGCAGTGTATGGTCTCTATCAGGGTTACAGTCATGACCCACCCTCACATGTTTGCTTTCTCTCATGGCATCTACTAATGTTGCTTTTCTCTGATGACATATATAACAGGAGAGACAAGTCAGTTTCATCCATTGTTGTGGACCTTGTGACAGTTGCCAGACAATTGCTTTAGGTTATCCAGTTGTCTTTGTGAAAGTATCAGTTGCTTTCCCATACAAGTCTCATTATTTTGGAATCTTAAGGCAATGGTTTTGGACAAATTGATGAAAGAACAAGTCTGTCTATGAACTTGGTAATGAGTTAATTCCTGGACACTCTAATAAACAAGTGTTGTGATGGACAAAGACAACTCCTCACATGCACTACCTACAGTTTTTCTATGGAATCGTTCCGTCTTCTGTTGGGAAATGACCAGCTTTATCTGCTTTGATTCATTTACACTATGATAGTATGTCATCTGCCATTCATGTTTCATTGAAATTTTAATTTCACCTTAAAGTCGGCTTTACTTCCCAAACTCGTCTTTAAAAGTTAAGTGACTCTAACTTACATCTACAACTGTTGTTTGAAACTTGTCATCTTTAAAGAGTGTGTACGATGATTACCTCAGCTTGGTGCTATGTCCGTTAGTAGGAAAACAATGTGAAGTCGTTAAACAGTGGAATGAATCTTGACGAAATTTTCAACATGATAGTATGACATCTTAAAGTGTTCTGGTGTAACATGCCATGTAAAACCATGTTTAGTCATCCTGGAGTTATTTTCTGACTTGAGTTCATTGACAAGGACTTAATGGTACTGCTATTGTAAGCAATATCAAGGAAGTTTTTTATTTCAGCAATAGACTTGTAGTTCTAGCTTGCCAGTTTTGCATACCTAGCAGTAGTCCTCACTGATTATAACAAGCAGTGCTACCAAATCGCCCAGTCAGACATGTATGTCTATAAATGACTCAATGTAAAAAGAGTCGTCTACTCTGAACAATACAGTACTGCCAAAGTGTCCATTCCTTAAGAATCGTCAGTCGTCAAAATGTGTGGAGTTTATCCTTAACCGTCTATTCTGAAGATAACATTGCAATCCTACTAAACGACCAGCCTATCTACTAATTGCTCCACATCATGCATTCATCAACTGTCAACAAATGTTTTTGATTTGTCGTCTACTTTGAAACATTCTCTCATCAAAATGCACAGTCGGCAAGAAACGTCTGTCGTCATCAGTGTTTATTTAGGCTTAAAAACGTCTACTCTGAAGATAGTTATGCAAGCCTTCTTAAATGTGCGGTTCGCATGTCTAAAAATGACGTCAGGTCGTAATTTCTTTTTAATGTTTTTGATGGCTCATTTTATTTTGTTCTGATTGTTTTGCTATGGTGAAACCAGGTATTGCTTTTCCCGTCAATATTACATTTTTCTTGATCAGACTTTTCATAGGTGAAGTGATTGATCGGCTTTTACTGTATCCAATTTCTTGTGAAAACGACGGATATATGTGAAATCGTATGCTGTCATCAGATTGTTTTACTGTCCTGAAATTGTCTATTCCGAACAATGTTGTGTCACTAAAACAAACAGTCCGTAAGAGTCCTCAGTTATCTTCAGAATCCTTAACTATTGTCCTCAAGTCGTCTACTCGGAAGAAAAGCAATGCAAAGACAAGTTGCTCCACGTCAACAAATGCTTTCGTGTCAAATAGATTCTGTTGTCATCACCATACCTTTCATTTCAATGCATATGTCTACTTTCATTTTGCCCTTTAGCCGTGTGATCTAGTTAAATGATGTCTAGCGGCGTCCGTCGATGGTGCATACCTGTGTTTTCATATTCATATTTGGTCCTGATGCGGAAACTTCCATTTACAGTCAAGTGTCTTCCAATGCATGTTGGCATTAAGAAAGTCAGTGATATTATCTACTGCCATCACATTTGTTGATTTCGTCTTTACTCTTCAAAAACACAATGCACTGCTACTAAAATGCCCAGTGCACGTGCCTGCAAATGGCTTGATTTTTGACCAAATGTTTGCTTTGTGCTCGAGTCGTCAATTCTGTAGATAAAGCAATGTTGCCTAAATGCTCTGTCCATATGTTTACAAATGGATTTATTCCGTAGTGTCGTCTGTTGTCGTCAGAGGTACCTGTAATGATTTCATTGGCTCAACTTAGTTGTCGAATCTTCTGTTCTGGTAAATCAACACTTTGCTTCGTCTATCACTGGCACTGATTCTGACAATGTTCTGTGCTTTAACATACAACGAAGGCCTGTTGGACGCCCAGTCCGCGGTCGAACTGTTTTGATGTCGTCTACTCTGAAGATAATGCAATGTCACTAAAACGCCAAGTCGTCTTATCATCAGAAGTACCTGTAATGATTCCATGACTCAAATTTGAGTTCTATGAAGTCGTCTGGTTTGGGTTATCTGCACTTTACTTCGTCCGTCGTTACTAATTTTCCCTAATACCATATTTTCACACAAAAATGGCTGTTCGTGTTTCTATAAATTGGAGTATCAACATGTTTTTAATGACAAGGAACAACTACGGCATTTATCAGTAATTCGCCTGCTATGTCGAAATCTCCTCTGTCCATCAATGCTTTACAGTTGAATGATGAAAAGAAAAGCAAACACAAGATAACAACCGGTACAATGCCTAGAAACAAACTTACAGATGGGAAACTTACTAACACAGCGAGCAATGTGCTGAAGCCGTCTAGGATTTTGAAATTAGGACAAACTGTCTTCAAAATAACGACTCTGTACCTATCAATACAAATTTACAATAAATATGCAATAGAGGCTAGATATTGAATTACAGCTGTTTCATCTTGCTAGGGCAGGATGTTGAGGACCAAAATTTTGAAACCTAGAAGGCGATTGAGGAAAATTGGAATTACTTGAAGAAATGTCAAAATTTAGATGGGAGACACGCTTGCCCATGATTCAATATTTTCAATGTTTTTTTAATCTGATAATTCAGGAAAACACCAAGTGCATGTGTGGCATTGGGGACAAAAAGTCCACCAGCAGTGTCTACTTCCTGTATTATCAGAGACTACAAAAGATACAAGTCATTCCGTATTGAACTGAAAGCTATGCTATCTGCGATACCGAAAGAGTAACGAAGAATTGAAAGGAAAATCAGTTTTTGTTGAAAAATCTCGCAAGTTTTATGGCTCTATCTATGGTATT